GACACCAAACCCTCACCTACAACAGGGGGTGACCTGCGGTGACAACGCACTCCCAGCTCAGGGCAGCTCCAGAGCTCAGATGGGACACTGGGGTTGTGYTGGAATGTGGCCAAGTGGCCTTGTTAGCATCTCATTTCCATATCTGTTTGTTTTTAAAACAAAACAAAAAAATCAACAATGAATTCAGAGCCCTAGCGTTTGCTTCTTCTCGGAGCTGTGCTGGATGAACAGATCCTCACATGGAGACTCCTGGGGCAGAGTCGGTGCCCAGCGACTCCCAGAGGAGCTCCCAGGGAGCCTGGCATCGACTGGGCTGTTCCTTTGGAAATATTCCAAGTATTTACACGTGAGGGAAGATGGGGTGTGGAAGCAGAACAGGACTGCACTTGGGCTGGGGACCCACGGACACATCCCTGCATCTCCCCATAGCTGCAACTGCTGAGCAGCACTTCCCAAAGCCAGATCTGGGGATTCTTCCTGTGGTCCCAAAACCAGATCTGGGGATTCTTCCTGTGATCCCAAAACCAGATCTGGGGATTCTTCCTGTGATCCCAAAACCAGATCTGGGGATTCTTCCTGTGATCCCAAAACCAGATCTGGGGATTCTTGCTGTGGCAGGAGGTGACAAGGATATGGGTGTTGTGGATGCTGTGCCTGGACTCTTGGTTGGGCTGATTTGCACAGCAGTGTCCAGCTCTGGGGCTCTCAGCACAAGGAGGGTGTTGAAACAAGTCCAGGAAGCTGTGGAGATGCTGCAGGGCTGGAGCCCCTCTGCTCTGGAGCCAGACTGGGAGAGCTGGGGGTGCTCACCTGGAGAGGAGAAGGATCTGGAGACCTCAGAGCCCCTGCCAGGGCCTAAAGGGGCTCCAGGAGAGCTGGAGAGGGACTGGGGACAAGGGATGGAGGGACAGGACACAGAGAATGGCTTCCACTGCCAGAGGGCAGGGATGGATGGGATATTGGGAAGGATGGGGTGAGGGTGGGGAGGCCCTGGCACAGGGTGCCCAGAGAAGCTGTGGCTGCCCCTGGATCCCTGGAGTGTCCAAGGCCAGGCTGGACATTGGGGCTGGGAGCACCCTCGGATAGGGGAAGGTGTCCCTGCAATGGCAGGGGGTGGCACTGGATGAGCTTTAAGATCACTTCCCACCCAAACAGTTCCATGATTCCATGATGAACTCCTATCTCTGCAGAGATTGCATCAGCCAGCATTTTTTGCTGAAAGCCTATTTAGAAAAGGAGAAACTGGGAAACTCCTGGGTGCCCAACAGGTTGGAGTCAAACCTCCTGCTTTGAAACCAAAGCATCATTTTGTAATAACATTTTAAACATTCCCAGGAAAAATACCCAACTGACGACTTCCAGCCCACTTTCTTGTAGCTGAAAATGCTCAACCTGCATTTGTAAATCACCCTCTCCCAATCTCCCCATTTTCAGTTATTTTCTGTCAAGTATCTTATCTTCCTTAAAACTTTTCTGCAAATTACTTGTTCCTTTGACATTAAGACATAAGCTGTAACGTGGACGGGCCTCTGATCTCCCAAACCCAGTTAAACCCAGTAATCAGACTTTAAGCTGATTTGAAAGCGAGTTGAGCTCTGCCTTCAGTGCTTCTTTTT